ATTGGAATGTAGTTTTCTTTCCTTGATGTGTTCTTGATACTGGCTTCATAGAATGAATTTGGAAGTGTTTCATTCCTTCCTATTTCATGGAATAATTTGAGAAGTTGGCATTAACTCTTCTTTAAATGTCTGGTGAGCTCTGCTGAGAATCTATCTGGTCCTGGGCTTTCCTTTGTTGGAAGTGGTTTCTATTACTGTCTCCATCTCATTGCTAGTTATGGGTCTGTTTAGGTTTTCTATGTCCATTTGATTCAATATCAGCATGTCATATGTGTCTAGAAATGTGCCCATTTCTTCTAGATTTTCTAATTTATTGTTTTCACACAGTCCCAAATGATCTCTGTGATGTCTTTATGTGGTGATTTCTCCTATTGTTATCAATTTGGGTCTTCTCTTGTCTTGGTTAGTTTGTCCAGTGGTTTATCAAACTTGTTTACCTTTTCAAAGAACCAAATTCTTCATTTTATTGATCCTTTATATTTTTTATTCTCTATTTTATTGATATCAGTTCTTTCCTATTACTGGTTTTGTAATTTGTTTGTTTTTGTTTTTCAAGGGTACTGAGATACTTCATTATGTCATTTTTTTGGGATCTGATTTTCTTATGTGGGCCCTTATAGTTATTGAATTTTCCTCTTAGAACTGACTTACTATTGTCCCAGAGGTTCTTCTATATTGTATCACTCTTCTCATTTGATTCTATTAATTTTTAATTCTTACCTGATTTCTTCTATCACCCATTCATCATTCAAAAGTCTATCATTCAATCTCCATTTGTTATAGTTTCTATAGATTTCTGTTGTTGATAATGATTCCTAACTTCATCCTATTATGATCAGATAAGATACATGGAATTGTATGTTTATTATATCTTTTTTTTGTATTTGATAAGAATTTCTTTCTGACATAAAATATATTCTATGTTGGAGAAGTTTTCATGAGCAGGTGAGAAGAAAATGAATTAATCTATCATTGAATGAAATATTTTATAGATGTCTATTAAGTCCATTTGATTTATAAATTTTTTAGTTTGTAGGAGTCTTTACTGAGTTTATGTCTGAATTATCTATTTATTGGTGAGAGAGATGTGATGAGATCACCCATTATTCTGTGCTGGGTTCTATCTAAACCTTAAATTCAAGTAGTGTATATTTTATGTAATTAGGTGCACTAACATTTGGGGCATAAATATTTACTACTGTCATATTTTCTGGTTGAATTTTATGAAGTGACTTTCTTTGTCACTTATGATTACTTTTGGTTTGAAATCTGCTTTGTCAAAAATGAGAGTAGCTACTCCTGCTTCTTTTCAGGCTCTATTTGCATGGTATATAAATTTCCATCCTTTCACTTTCAGCTTTTGGCTATCTATGCCTGTAAGGGAAGTCTCTTGCAAACAACATATACTTGGACATTGGTGGGTTTGTTTATTTATTTATTTATGGTACCAGGGATTGAACTCAGTGGCACTTGACCACTGAGCCATATCCCCAGCCCTTTTATGTATTTTATTTAGAGACAGGATCTCATTGAGTTGCTTAACACCTTGCTTTTTCTGAGGCTGGCTTTGAACTCACTATCCTCCTGCCTCAGCCTCCCAAGCCACTGAGATTACAGGCATGCATTACTACACCTGGCTGGATATTGTTTTTTAATCCATTCTTCTAGCTTATGTTTCTCTAATTGGAGAAACCAATTAGTAGTCATGAATTCTTTTAGTTTCTGCTTATCTTGGAAGGTTTTTATTCCCTCTTTGAGTCCATACAGAGAGAACAAAAAATTAAAAAGAGAAAAAAGTCTTAATGAAAGAATTGTTTCCACTGAGGTGGTCACAACTTCAAGGAGGATGGATGGTTACAACCTTTTCTTTTTCTTCTTGGGTTATGCACCCCTTTGAGACAGTGAGGGCTGGGGGGTGTTATACCTTTTTTTTGCTCACCTAGCTGCTAGTTGGAATGACCTAAGACTGAAGTTGGTTGAAATAGCTTCCTGCTTCCCTCTCACCAGTATAAAGGTAGGATGGAATGGGAAGTACTGTAGATTGGAATGTTGTCTGCACAAACAAGATCAATGCATTCCCAGGTAGGGCTGTTGCAGAGTTCTATGTGTGGAATTCCAGCAGCTAGGACTTAGGTCTAATCAGGCCTGAGAGATTTTGGTGGATGGTATCTGCTCTGAAGAGATTAGAACAACACCCCCTAGGGCTGGGCAGATGCTGATCTTTGCTGAGAGTCTGGATCTCAGATGACTCCTGAAAATTCTGACCATAGGACCAGGGAGCCAACCCTCCACAAGTCTCCCTTGATCTACTGCCCACAAATACAGTCTTCTTGGGCTCTGTCCCTGAGTGCAATCATGGCTGCCTATTCAGTTTCCTGACCCTCTTCAGCTGGTCATGTTTGTCACCAGACTCAAAGTGAAAGCAAGTTGCACTCCTTTCAGTATCTCTGACTTAAATACCCCTACGTACAATAGCTGTGTCTTTTTTTTTTTTTTTTTGCTCACATTCTGCTAGGTACACCCTAGGTTCTTGCCAGGACAGTATTGCAATTATTTGCTATGATGTCACAGGCTCCAACAACAGCAAGCTGCAGCATGGTTTCCTCAAGATAGCTCACACCTCAGCTCTCCACTGCCAGCTGAGAAACAGAGCACTTTTCAAATGCCAATTTGCTGTGTAGCCTCTGGATCAGCTACATTCAGGCTGCTTTTCTGTTCTACAGGTTTTCCCCTTCCAGATTTGTCTGTTGCATTTCTCTGTTTGGGTTCTCCCTACCCTCTGCAGTGAACAGGAGCTGCTACTGCTGTCTCAGCTGGCTTGGCTCCAGTGTACTCTTTCTTGTTCTTTGTTCAATGAACCCAACTTTCTGAGTATCTATGAGACTCTGATTGTCCAATATTGAGTTTCGGTGAATTCCCCTTTTCCCCAACCTGCTGAGGAGCAATACTCCTATTGCTTGAATTCGAGTCAAACCACTGGAAATGCAGCCTGCCATCTTGGATCCCTCTCCACTGATGCTTTTCGATGATGAGGGACGTGAGAGACTCCAGAGCTCCTGTGTTTCCTGGGAACTCATGACTTTGGCTGCTGGGGAGCCAGGGAGGAACACCAGAGTCCAAGTTGCCCTCCTCCCACTTCTACTTGGTTCTCTTGAAGCCCTCGTGCTTTGGCATGGGCTGTGCTCTGTACTTGTAGCACCATTTCTCCCCTTATCCAGGGAATTCTCATTCATCCTGCACAACTTAACCTAGTGCCTAAAGAAATGCCTGGCACCTGGAAGATACTCAAGAAATAGAAAATGAACTTAAATTTCACTATCTTCTTCTTTTTTCTGGGGGTGGGGTGGGGTGTGAAACATACTCCAATTTCCCAGCTGCTGGTGAGTGAGCACATCTCTCTTGCTCCACACCCTGCTACATGCACTTCTGCCCCAATTCTGTTCATTTTGTGAACCCCTGGAGGGCAGAAATGGCATCTTGTGTCACTTAGGATTTCCAGGCTCTTTACCATGTGGCTATAAACTGCATTCTTTTGACTAAACATGCACTATTTTGTGAAAATGCTTCTCATGGTTTTGAAATCCTTGTTTCATGCTAGAAATGCTTTATTCATTATTCCGGAACCTCACATATTTGGTGCTAGTCTCAGAGGGACCTTGCCTCTGCTCCAGTACTGAATACCTTCCCAGTGCACAGCATCTGAAGTCCCTCCGCCAGCTAGTCAGTATGTAACATTGAGAAGATGTTTAACCTGTCCCTGAGCCCTTTTTCTTCTTCTATGAAACAGGAATAATGATATCTGCCCTTCTTGCTTTGTAAGGTGGTCATGAAGATCTAATGAAATAGCATATTTGTTATTTTCAAATCTTTCTTTCTTCAAAGTTTAGCATAACAATATAAAACTACTTCCTCTTCTGAACAAGATCTTCCTTATTTTTTCAAAGGCAATCTTGAAAGTCTGGTCCTGGGCATCATATTATCTTCCACTCTAAAACACCAGGCAGGCTGTCTCTAGCCCGGCCATATCACTAACAGCTCATTCACCACCATCATCAATAATTTTGTCTTGGCCAGCACCCCTGGACACTTTCCTGCCCTTCCCTCATTTGATCTGATTCCTGTCTCCTTCTTCCTGAGATTTTCTCTGTATGAGGCCAGAGTGAGCTTCCTGAAATGAATTCTGACCATATCCTGCCACACATCAAACCCCACAATGACTCCTCATTGCCAACATGATAAAATTCAAGTTTCTGGGGAAGTAACGTCCAGCCCACCATCCCCTGGCCCCTGCTTGCCTCTTCATCAGCATCTCCAAATGTTGCTGTTCTTGTAACATACACCTCAGTCATACGAAAATGATGCCTGTTTCTAGAAAGTTCCATGCTTTCTCACATGCTGCCCAAAAGACAACCTCCTACAATCTGATTGTCTTTTAAGGCTCAGTTCAAAATTTTACCTCTCTGGAAACCTTTCCTGAGCTCAACTTCCACCCTTCTTTCTTCCACGCAGAAATCAGTGCTTCCCACATCTCGATGCTCCCCACATTCTTTGAATCCACCTAAATTAGCACAATCTTCCAATTCTCTCTAGTTGCATCCTATAGTTATTTAAATATTTATTTCCTCTACCAGACAGTGAATGTGGTGGGCATAAGCAACAAGCTCTGTCTCTTTATGTTTGTCTTGTTTCTGCTACAAAGTAGGTCATTATAGTATGCTTGTTGAATAAACAAGTGAGGGGGATACATGACATTATTATTTGTAGTCCATTCTTATTCCTTTACTGTATTTTGAAAACCTCTTAAAATCTTTTTGTTATATTTGGTTTCCAAAGATAGGAAAAATCTGGCCAGTGCCCTAATCTACTTAGAAGTGACTCTCCTGAGACCTGGGCTTGGCTTTCTTTGGAAGCCTCAGAAATCCCAAAGAAAGTGCCTTCCTCTAAGCTCCCCCTCAGAGGTGCCCGGAACCCATGGGATGGGCATTCAGGAGCCCACTCACCTGCCACTCCCGGCCCTGGAGGTTTCTAGCTGTTGGGAAAGGAGCCCAGCAATGGTGGCGAAGCTGTTGCTCATGCGGAAGATGTCTCTGCTCTGAGGGCCCAGGATGCCAGAGAAGGCCTCAGTGATGCGCCTGATCTCCAACAGCAGGACGTGGTGGGACGAATGCTCCGTGCTGGCCAGCTGGCTCACCAGGTACAGCAGGCAGCTCCTGGCTCTCTCCTGCCAAGAGCAATGAGGAAGGGAGCTTCTAATTTAAAAGAAAATTGGAATCTCATGGATAGCAGGTGACAATTCTACAGAAAGCCATTGGAAGGAGCTAGCTACAGATAAATAAATTCTATTCACAGCTCCTCTGAATTAGTTTCTTGGAGATTTTACATTTACCCTGCTGATTTCCAGGAAAAATTCTTTTTTAAAAAATAAAACTTTGCCCCAGTTGCTCTTTTCTTAAAAAAATATGCAAATATTCTTATTAGCCTCCCTCACCAGGTCAAACCTCTCAAGCTCATTAATGATCTGACCCCACACATCTACCCCTCCCAGGTGGACTGGCTATTCCACCTGCATGGAGGAGGCACTGATAGTGGTCTCAAGATGAACCTTGACCCTGGCACTCTCATCTACTCACAAGTCAGGAGTCGGCCACACACCCCTGTTGGGCAAGGTCTGCCTCCTTCCACAGTGTGTTATCACACATCTGTTTATGTGTCTTTCAGCCTCCTACAGTTCTTAAATGCTTGATTGGATGAGTAGATTATATTATCTGTCTTTAACTGAGTAACTCCCACAAGTAACTGAAATAAGTTCCTTCAAAGAAATAAAGGCAATTCTAATAACACAGATGAAAAGCAAAGCAAACAAAAATGCCAATTAGGAGACACATCTTTTCTTTTTTTATACTTTTTCTTTTTTTTTGGTACCTTAGATTGAACCCAGGGTACTTTACCACTGAGTCACATCCCCAGTCCTTTTTATTTTTAATTTTGAGACAGTCTTTTTTTTTTTTTTTAAGAGAGAGTGAGAGAGGGAGAGAGAGAGAATTTTAATATTTATTTTTTTTTTTTTAGTTATCGGCGGACACAACATCTTTGTTTGTATGTGGTGCTTAGGATCGAACCTGGGCCGCACGCATGCCAGGCGAGTGCGCTACCGCTTGAGCCACATCCCCAGCCCAGAGACACATCTTTTCAAACTCATCAGCCAACGTGATCTGATTCCACATGACAAGAATGTAGCCAAAATAATTCAAAATTATCAAAAAGATAATTTGAAATGTAGTCTGTGTTTAACAGAAATAACAATATATCATTAATAAGTAAATAAAAATGATTCAAAGGATGGCTTATTTTTATCTTTCAGTTCACTTTTAAAATCTCAGTCTTTGTGTATATTTTTAAAATTCATAATGCTGGTGAATCAGAAAACATACATAACTATAAATAAATATATTTTGGAGGTTGAGACTCAAAATCCTTCTAATGGATGGGTGCACAGGTCTAAATCACTCTTGCATTTGGAATTTCCTTTTACCCTTTGTTCTTGCATTGACCTCCTGTCCTGCCTCCTCCCTAAGTGTCCCTAGTGACCCTTGGTGTCCATGTTCTCACTGCAGGACCTTGTTCGGTGACTGATTGCATGTGATCCCTGGCTTCCTCTTGCTTTACTCACCAGCCAGATGCTGCAGGCCTGTGACCTGCCTGGGCTGGGCACTGGGTGAGATGGGTGAGTAAGCCGTCCTGGCCTTGAGGGGCTCAAGGTGCCTCCTTTCACCGGTAACTTGGGCTGCTGTGCCTGTCCAGTCTCCTAAAGAGACTGCTTCTCATTCAGCAGTCATCAGCCTGGCACAGAAGTGGGCCCGGAGATTCAACACCCAGTGTGTGTCTGTCTCAGTTCACTGATTTAAGCAAGCCTTATGTGATAAAATGTGACCTTCAAAAGAAGTTATCAGCTGCCAAGGAATTCTGTGCTTTCCAAGAAATATTTACTGCGGGACAAATTGATTAAGTTGATTTTCAAAGATTTCATGTATGATTGCACAGGTGCACAGCTCTTGGGGAAGTGAGATATATCTGCCAGTCAATCTTTTAAAATTATTTTTTGAGCCCTGTTAGGGCACAATACCCTGTACTGGTGTGTGATACAAAGGTTTGTGCTTTCACAAGTTGGGCAGCTAGCTGAACAGAAATCTGTTTACTAAAGGACAACAGCATTAGGTAACTAAAAAATAAAGGTCCTTGGAATAAGTTCCTGACAGCCCGTTTCATACTTGAGCTCACATAGTTGTCAGGTTTTGCAGGATGATCCTTGAATGCTCCTGGGTCTAATAGATTTTTGCAAGACATATTTTTGCATACCATGTGAAGTCATGGTATGCAACACATCCCAGGGACTTTTTCTATTTTCTGTTTAAATGTAAAAGTGGGATATGGGGGTCTCTGTCATATATCAGGCCCATTCTAGAAGTTAGGAAAACAGCACTGAAGAACAAGAACAAAAAGTCCACTGTCTGAATGAAGCAGACAGAGAATAGGCTAAACACCTTTGTGAAATACAGAGCGTGCTGGCTGGAGAAGAGGTCCTCAAAGACAAGCAAAGCTGGAGGGGACACAAGGGGAGTTAGGGTTAACCAGTGTCATCAGGAACACCCAGAGAGGTGACATGGAGCCCAACAAGGTTTGAGAATTGAAGCCCAACATTCTCTGTAAGTTTGCAAAACAATTGCAAAAATCCTGCTGATACAGGGAGGTAAGAGGAGGTAGGGACACAGGAGAAGTGACATTTTATTTGCTGTTTGTCCTACTGAGAATGTGATATCACATTTCAGATAACTTCCTCAGCTTTGGAATCAGATACTTCTTTCGTATTTTTGACAGACATTCCACCATCATTTCATTTTGTTGAATATATATATATATATATATATATATATATATATATATATATTCCTTTAATTTCATTGAGAGTCGTTCTCACTATAAAATCAGTAGTTCCTCCTCAAGGTGAGGGTGGCTGCTTATTTGCTGAAATCAACATAATTTTTTTTATTTGCCAATATTTAATTCAATTGTGGTCGCAAAAATTATAATAATTTGTTCCCATAAATAAGACTTTGTTAGCCCTAAACATGAAAAATACATTCCCCAATATTACTATTGTCTTTTGACAAAATACTTTTTAAATTGTTCATTTATTATTTTATTTTCTGTTTAAAAAATCCTGCCTAGTCTATTGCTATGGACTAATTGCCTATGTTCGGGATTTTTTTTTTTTAATTTTTTATTGTTGGCTGTTCAAAACATTACATAGTTCTTGATATATCATATTTCACAATTTGATTCAAGTGGGTTATGAGCTCCCATTTTTACTCCATATACAGATTGCAGAATCACATCAGTTACACATCCATTGATTTACATATTGCCATACTAGTGTCTGTTGTATTCTGCTGCCTTTCCTATCCTCTACTATCCCCCCTCCCCTCCCCTCCCCTCCCCTCCCCTCCCCTCCCCTCTTCTCTCTCTGCTCCCTCTACTGACATTCGTTTGTCCCCCTTATATTATTTTTCCCCTTCCCCTCACTTCCTCTTATATGTACTTTTGTATAACTCTGAGGGTCTCCTTCCATTTCCATGCATTTTCCCTTCTCTCTCTCTTTCCCTCCCACCTCTCATCCCTGTTTAATGTTAATCTTCTTCTCATGCTCTTCGACCCTACTCTGTTCTTAGTTACTCTCCTTATATCAAAGAAGACATTTGGCATTTGTTTTTAAGGGATTGGCTAGCTTCACTTAGCATAATCTGCTCTAATGCCATCCATTTCCCTGTAAATTCTATGATTTTGTCATTTTTTAATGCAGAGTAATACTCCATTGTGTATAAATGCCACATTTTTTTCATCCATTCATCCATTGAAGGGCATCTGGGTTGGTTCCACAGTCTAGCTATTGTGAATTGTGCTGCTATGAACATCGATGTAGCAGTGTCCCTGTAGCATGCTCTTTTTAGGTCTTTAGGGAATAGACCGAGAAGGGGAATAGCTGGGTCAAATGGTGGCTCCATTCCCAGCTTTCCAAGAAATCTCCATACTGCTTTCCAAATTGGCTGCACCAATTTGCAGTCCCACCAGCAATGTACAAGTGTACCCTTTTCCCCACATCCTCGCCAGCACTTGTTGTTGTTTGACTTCCTAATGGCTGCCAATCTTACTGGAGTGAGATAGTATCTTAGGGTGGTTTTGATTTGCATTTCTCTGACTGCTAGAGATGGTGAGCATTTTTTCATGTACTTGTTGATTGATTGTATGTCCTCCTCTGAGAAGTGTCTGTTAAGGTCCTTGGCCCATTTGTTGATTGGGTTGTTTGTTCTCTTATTGTCTAATTTTTTGAGTTCTTTGTATACTCTGGATATTAGGGCTCTATCTGAAGTGTGAGGAGTAAAGATTTGTTCCCAGGATGTAGGCTCTCTATTTACCTCTCTTATTGTATCTTTTGCTGAGAAAAAACTTTTTAGTTTGAGTAAGTCCCATTTGTTGATTCTAGTTATTAACTTTTGTGCTATGGGTGTCCTATTGAGGAATTTGGAGCCCGACCCCACAGTATGTAGATCGTAGCCAACTTTTTCTTCTATCAGACGGCGTGTCTCTGATTTGATATCAAGCTCCTTGATCCATTTTGAATTCACTTTTGTGCATGGCGAGAGAAAGGGATTCAGTTTCATTTTGTTGCATATGGATTTCCAGTTTTCCCAGCACCATTTGTTGAAGATGCTATCCTTCCTCCATTGCATGCTTTTAGCCCCTTTATCAAATATAAGGTAGTTGTAGTTTTGTGGATTGGTTTCTGTGTCCTCTATTCTGTACCATTGGTCCACCTGCCTGTTTTGGTACCAGTACCATGCTGTTTTTGTTACTATTGCTCTGTAGTATAGTTTGAAGTCTGGTATCGCTATACCGCCTGATTCACACTTCCTGCTTAGCATTGTTTTTGCTATTCTGGGTCTTTTGTTTTTCCATATGAATTTCATGATTGCTTTCTCTATTTCTACAAGAAATGCCGTTGGGATTTTGATTGGCATTGCATTAAACCTATAGAGAACTTTTGGTAATATCGCCATTTTGATGATGTTAGTTCTGCCTATCCATGAACAGGGTATATTTTTCCATCTTCTAAGATCTTCTTCTATTTCTCTCTTTAGGGTTCTGTAGTTTTCATTGTATAAGTCT